ATTGCACACAATGGGTGGCAGAAGAGACTGATCCAATTTTTGACACTGTTGTCTCCTTTAGAAACCTCTTCCCAGCATTTACATCAGTCCATGGACTGCATGGAGCATGACACCTGATGGACAGGATCTGCCAACCCCGTGCCTTTCAAAAATCATACACACACACAAACAAATGTTTTAGAACAGCTGACCTTCCTTCATGACTTCAGATGTCTCTCAAACCTCTGAGGACTCTGATTAAGCAGTTTGTAAAATGTAAATCTCTCCCACTCATTCAGACCACTTCAATGCCTGTTTTGGTTTCTGCCTTCTACCAGGCACTGTTATCTGTTAGATACAGTATCTGTTCTAGGAGAACAGAGTCACTGAGTCACCAAATAAGAGATTTGTACTTCAGTGGTATGCAAGTGTCCTAGCTGTGAAGTTATGCAATTTCTATTGGCATCACTATAAATTATTTCAAGCATAGCTGTGAACTGAAATAACATTTCACAACAGAGTATATACAGGCAATATTCTTGATAAAGTTCTTCCATTTCCTTTGACCAGAAATTTATCTGGCTAATAAAATAATAGCATGAATATCAGACTGTCAGCAAAGAACACATTTGCAGTGAGGATGAAACATGCATGAGTGACAATTCATCACATCTGTAAAAATAAATAAACCCCCCCAAAACAACAAAAGAGAAAAACATGAGTTAGTGTTGTTTCTGAAGTCCGAGTCTTACAAAAGAAAAATTAAAATAAAACAAAGATAATTTATTTGCAAAAGACATGACACAATGCCACCTTCTGGTTAAAATGTGTAGAAAAATATACCAGCTTTGTGTTGAACACTTACACATGTGCACTAGATCAGTTTGTCTATGAATTCACAATAGTCATACAGCCGATTTTTTGGACTGGTAGATCCCAGTATATCCACTATTGAATTTTCTGTAGTAGTCCAGCCCCGACTAAAGGCAGAATCTTGTTTCTCAACAGTTAAAGTTCAGTGCAGGTTTGCATCTTTAGACAAGAATCTATTTCATATTCTAGCAATGGGGTTTGGCCACCAATTTAAAACCACTCATTTTTCATAGAGTATCAGATTTTTTAATAATGTTTCCTTGTTCAAAGATTTAGCAATTTTGGCAGCAAAAGTGTTTTAAAATTAGGCTTTTATGATTTTTCTCTTGAGAGCCTCATGTGTTATTAGAGTCATATAGCTAAAAAACTATTAACTCTGCAACATGCAGAGACATTTTCATAACAGCTTGGAGATATGAAGGATTTAAATATTTTCCATTTTAACCAAAATAAGAATCATTTGCCACTGGGGAAGCCAGCGGCTCTTTTAAGATCCATTCAATATCTCTCTCCTCTCCTCTCCTCTGGTCCTTTTGAACTGCCAAGCACTTTAAAATAGTGACAGGATCTAGGTAAAGACATATCATTGCTTATTAAATTTAATAGCTGGAAGAGTTAATACTGGACACACATAGACATCAAATTTCTCCAACACCCTTCATCCAGGAGCAGGGTTTGGCCATTCCTTTTCACTTTTGAAGAAACTGTAGGACTTACTTCAAGGTACTGAAGTTTTCCCTCAAATCTTCACTCATCCCAGGAGCATTTGTAAGGAGGGCACACCCATTGTGTATTATTAGTTCAGTAACCCAACCCTTCACTTCCAGGCTGCATGGTCCAACATGGTCTGCAGAAATCCTCTCTTCAGAGGAGACAAGCAAAGGCAGAAACTCAAAGAGGACTTGAGCACAATGAAAACAATTGGTGGTGTTTCCCACTTCTGAATCATCAGCCTATTTCAGAACCTCACTTGCCTCATCCACATTCTCTGTATGCACCATGTGAAGGGGAAAGTGGGAAAAGTGTGCCAGGAGAGACAACAGCCACTGCTCCAGAGGATTAGCACAGGGAAGTTCCATAAATGGACTGGTATGACCACAGTTACTGCAGCATATTTATACAGCTTTAGAGTTAGAAAGATCAGAATTGTCCCTGGTGGGTAATAAATTCCTGAACAAGAATTTGAGCTTTGTATATGATATGAGAATAAAGCTGATCAATGGAGAGAATTATTGTATTGTCAAACTACAGCAATGAGGCCACTGTGACAATTACTGGATATTTATTCAACTGATTTTCCTTGAGGAATTTTAATGAGGATTTCACACTCCATAACCACATGCTTTAGATTCTGTCAGTAAAAATGTTAAATGCTTCTGTTAAAGTAATGTGACACTGCTTTTGCTGCACTACTCTTTGCAGGGGAATGATATTTTAGCAAGACAAGAGAATGTCTACTTTTTTTCAGATGTACTGGGGAGGTTTTCAATTATTTATGTTGTGGCTGAATCCCTCAGTATGCCACTAGACCCAGAAAAAAAATGACAGTGCTAGCCCCATTGTGGAACAGTTGTGGAAATTCCTTCAGCTTTTCATGCATAAGCTTCCCCATGCTCTCCATGTAGCTGGCAGCAATGTTGTGCATAATGCACAAGAAATTCTTATGGTGAGATTAGAAGTGGCAAAATCCATCAATTTTTATACAGAAAGTTCCAAAGCTGAACTAATTTGTTTGTAGTTATGGCCATTCCATGTTATTGATTGCTATGATCACAAAAAAATTAAGCTTTTGGTTCCCAGTGCTCAGATTTAATCTCATGAATATGGCAGTGGGATTCAAATAAAGAAAAGGATCTGTTAAGAGTTTAAAAACTGAGTTTATATTCTTGACTCAGACACTGATCTGCACCATGTTCTTCACAGGCTTTATTTTTCTGTGCATCTCTTTCACTCTTGTCTTGCAGATTATAAGTAACATTTTCAGAAAAGATTGTCTCTCATTATGTGCTTCTAACATGGCTTATTTAATGAGGTGTCAAATTCATTGAAGCCTCGAAGCTTAACTATATAACATAATAACATAATAACCCATAATGCACTGAAATCATCCTTCACAAACTGAAAATGAGAGTTTGTTGTTCCAAATTGCCATTACTTTCCTGTGCTTCTGACAGGGATCCTCTGCAGTTGTTCACAGACGTCTCCCAGAATTTTCAGATTACACGGCAGTGTTTAAAATGCAAAATGGGAACATATCTCTCAGATAATCTGCACTAAATCATCAACTGCTGCGGCCATTAGAGTATTTCCATGTATATGGCATGGTCTGCTATTTCTGCTTGGATGTTTAAGGTAAACAGTCACAAAAAAAGTAGGTAGAGCTGTGTGACCTCCTTGTACACAACAACATACATTTAGTTTTAAGAAATTAGTGTTTCTACTGATGCTTGTGCCTGAGAACTGCTATTTATAGTGCTGTGAAGCAAAACTGACATTTTAAGTTGAGGCTCTAAATTCCTTCTTGGTGTAATATTACAATGTTTTGAGACTACACCAGAAACTAACACAGCCCAACAACAGAAAATTTCTATGTGCCACTTTGGGTTTGGAAATGTGTTGCAAAAAGAAAATGTCTTTCTTATTGCAGACTTTAATATCTCTCAGTGATGGTAATTAAAGACTTGATTGCACAGATACTTCATGCAAACAGCTCTTCCTCGGTCACACCAGTGATACCAACCAGATATAGGAATACAAAGATAAACTTGGGTAAAAACCACCCAAGGGAATAAAACCTGCAATATTTTTCCACATCAAAAATAGATATACTAAATACTAAATACTATATTCTAAATACTTTTTAGAAAACTATAACAGGAAATCATCACAAACCAAAATGTGTGCACATTTGGTTGAAGACAACTTTCATTGAAAAGAGGAGGAAAAGACAAGTGAAAATTGAACTTTGACAGGGGATGAAAGGGAAATCTCAATGACCAACACTGAAGCAAATAAAAATGCTAAGTGTAGCAAGTAAGCAGTATTAAAGTAGATGAAAATTAAATATGACAATACATATTTGGGAACAGTTATGAATGAGTCTAAAACTAAGAGTAAAATTTCTGGCATAAATTATAGTGGTGGTTCAGGAGCTTTACGTGAGTCCATGTTCTGCAAATCTCTCTCTAGAAGCTACCCTGCCTTTAAAGAGACTCTCACCACCCTGACAAAGGTTGCTAAACTCTGAAGGTAAGTCTGGGTAAAGACCTAAAGCAAATATATACTGCACATATAATAGAAGGCAGCATAGAATCAGGGACTTTCAATTATAAATTGCCCCACCAAAAGTAGCTCAATGCACTGTGCAAATTTTGGAAGAACAGTAAAGAGTGAGCATTTACCACCTCAGACAGAAGTACCACGCATGGGGGAAAGAAAGTCTTTGCTAATGTCTGTGGGGACTAACATGTTCTCTGGGCTTATGCCACCTCATGTCCTCACAGGTATCTAGCTAGAGGAAAAAAACTATAGCAGCTCTGGCTCTTGGGGCTTCCCAGTCTCACAGAGAAGCTTCCTTCACTCACAGCTCTCCCTCAAATCAACTTGCAAATAAGCATGTGGGGAGCTCACTCCTCTGCATGGCCAAGTGAGATTAGAGACAGCATTTCATTTGTGCAGGCCTTTTGGCAAGCACCCACTGAAGTGAATGATTACACAGAAAGTCAGTTATTCTTCTGTTAAAATAAACTCCTTTTTTTAAAAGGAATCAACAAAGCAAATTTTCCATGAAGTCATTAAACAAATCTTAGTTTAAAAGAATTTATCAGCATTGAAGGATTCAAAGAAAGAGAAGACTTAGGGAAGCCATAGCCAGTTAAAAAAGAAGAAAAGAGAAGATAGAGGGGAGAAAAGGAAACTGATTTTTTCTGAATGCTTTCCTTAAGCTGAAGAAGTCAAAACGATCATGAAGAAGAAAGGAAAAGTGTGGCATCTGCATTAATTGGCATTAAGCACTTAAAACAAGAAGCTTCAATAACTCTGCAAATTTAAATTTTTGAACTTCTCCTTTCTATCCTTCTTCATTGATATTCATAGGGCAGTAACCACTATTTGCAAACAAAGATAAAAAACAGTATTTACTCTTGCTGGAAAATGCAGCTATAATTTATTATGGATGCATTCAATTTACTGTGAATCACTTTGTAAAACTTTCATAATATAACCCAAATAAAAGCTAGACGAACAAGTAGTTGTGGTTTTTTTTGGTCCAGTCACTAAAGAAAAAGGAAAACAAAAGAAAATTAGTTGAGTTTGAATCAAAACAGACGTTTTGTGGTTTTTTTGAAAAATAGGAATTTTTTTTTAGAATCAATTTAATCTGTAAGGACTTTTGTTTTCATTCTAGAACCTTTATTTTTCTGTGAGTCATTATTAAATACTAAAGATAAGTTTATTTAACAAACATCAAAAGTAAACATTCTAACATTCCTAAATTTTTTTCTTCTTAAAATTCAGGAATTAAATTATTCTTTTTTTTTTAATATCAGATCTGTTTTACTCTTTATTTATCTGAATTTAACTGCAACTGATTCATACTTCTAAGCAATTTAGGTCCCTTAAAAATGATGGTTTGTACTATCACCCCAAAATCCACACCATTTCAGTAAAACACAGGAGCTACTTCCTATTTGTTTGGAGTTCAAGTCTGCACCTGAAGACTCAGGATATATTTTGAAAATGAGTGTTTATTTGCTTGGCTTGGCCTGACTTTGCTTGGTTGAGTAAAACCAGGCCAAGTTCCAGTAGATCCTGGAGTGACTTATATGTTTGACTGGAAGCTGCTGAATGTCTTTCTGAGGGGTTTCATGCTGAGTGCTAAAATCTCTCAGCAAGTGAGAACAACTCCACCAGCCAGGTCTGCTGGCTCTGAAAGGTCCCAAGCACAGGACAAGTTCATGCAGTGCTTCTTGTAGGACAGATGAGATGGAAATTTACCACCTCAAATATCAGGATTCAGAGCTGGGCTATACCTACCAGAGGTGGCCTGATGAGAAGTCAGCTCATAAGGCTGATATTAGAGTGGGAAAAACAAGGGAAGGCATGCTGCTGGGAATGGATATCCCCCTCTGCCCCCAACACCTGCAAATGCTCCAGACATCTCAGCAGAAGCAAAGAGTTTGCAGGCTATGGAAGAGGGAAAGCAGGAATGGGCACACAGCAGTGATGGTAGGTCCCTCCCAGGAATGTTTGGTTCCACATCCTGGCTCCAGCAGTGGCCAAGAGAGGCTGGGGAAGCATGTAAATGAGGACAAGCATGCAGTAATGTCCCCTGGCTTTGAGCACTCTATGAGCTGCAATATTTCCTGAGCCAAAAACAGCATCTCTGTGTTCTACATACCTCAATGGATTCTTCTTCTGTGGATTTATCTAATTCCTTCTGAAGCCATGTAAACTTCTGGCATCCTCAGATGCTTGTGCTAATGCCATCAAAAATATAACTATGAAATATAACTATGTGAAAAAACCCTGCTTTATTTTGTCAAACCTCCTACTCCATGCCCCTATTTGTGCTTCCTCCCTATTCATTATTCATAGATTTCTGTTCCCTCCTTCCTCAGTCACATCTTTTTCTACTCAGTGTACCAAGATTATGTAGTCAATCTTCATCTGGAAACTATTTCTTAGTTTTGAGCATCCTATCAACCTTTTCTAGCTCTGGTCTACCCTTTCTGAGAGGCAGGGGATAAGAACACATGCAGTCTTCAAGATATGTCTAATTCACAGACTTACAAAGTACTTTCTATCCTTCACTTACTAATTCCAAGTGTCAATTCCAGAGTCAGCCCCAGGTGCATCAGTTTACATCTTCCCACATGGATCTGCTATTTTTTCGTTCAGCCAGAACCTTAAGATACTTTCAAAACTACCCTGAGTTTCTAAAACTGTTTAATAAGACTGTGTCACCTCACCTTGTTGAGTCCCTTAACCAGACCTGTATGTATTTTAAAGCACAGAGTTCAGCAATGATCTCTGTGGGTTGCCACCCATCAACCAGGAAAGCAAACAAATCAACCTTTTGTTTTATTTTCTACCTCCAAACTTTCTATTTAGACATGCTAGGACATCTCCTTTTGTGCTACAGCACTTTATTTCCTTAAAAGTACTTGATGAGAGTTTTCTCAAAATATTTCAGGAAAACCCAGTATATATATCAAAAGGATTTTCCAGTCCAATGTGGACTGATTGTTGGCTGATTCTTTCAAAGAAATCTACAGTTTTTAAGAATAATTCCCTATGTAAACACAAAGCTTGGGTGCTACTAAGTAAATAATATGTAAATATGTTCACTGGTTCTGTTTTCTATGATAACAATTATATTTATATATGTTCATTGTTTCTATTCTTTATTATAGCTACCACCAATTTGCTAAATGCACTTGTCAGATTTACTATGATTTATATATCTTCAACTCCTGCATCATCCTTTCTTCAAATTGCATCATTTTCTTTTTATGAACAAGGGGGAAGTTTTAGAAGACAGGATGCCAAAATTAATGGTTCACTCCATTCATAATTAATTTTCTATATAACTCTTAAGTGAGCACCACATGCTGTGTCTGATTTGTTACTATTTCTAATTAAAAAAACTCAAATTATTTCTAAATATTGTTACCCATTTTCTTCAAAGACCTCTTTTCTGCCAACACTTAAGTTTATAACAGATGAGATGTCCCATTAAAACATATTTTGGAGCAAGAATCCACCTCGCCTCCCACAGTGAATATAGCTTGAAACAGTTCATTTCTTTTTTCTGCCTTTATGGTTGCATCACAATGCTTTAAAAAGCACTTTAAACTCTTTTGCAAGAAGGTCACACCATTAACCAAGTCAGCTCAGTATTGCATTACTGTCATAATCTGCATTACTGTCATAAATTAATACAAAAAAGGGGGCAAGGAATATATAACTTATATAAGTTATCCCTCAAAAATAATTGTTTATTTCTCAAAGTCTTATGATGAGCTGGATGATGGCAATTCTGATTTCACAGTATTTTTTATATCACATCATAGCTATTTACACACAGCTACTGCAGAGAGCAGGAGGACAGGCCAACCTGCAGTGAAATATCCAGGAATGATTTATGGAGCGCAGTGCACTCTCCTCAATATCCTTCTCCTCCTCCTTCTTTGGAGGGAGTACTGACAATGGCTTCTTGCTAGTCAAGCAAAACTGGTGTTGTATCTTTTTTACCTTCTCCAAAGCATTTGTGAACTCTGAACCACAATCTGGCCCCTTTTGTTTTATATGCATAATATGACAATTCAGTATAAACATCCCTGTCTCTAGTAAGCTCTGTTTAAGATATAAAATGGGGTAAAAGAATAGATACTGCTGAACCTAACTTGAGATTGTATTTAAGTTAAGCATTAGTGAAATCAGAATCCTTTATTTGGAGCAGGAGTTGATAAATAAAGCAAAAAGGAATGACGAAAAGTAGATTCAAATAAGCGATGCCTACACATATTTTCTTAGGCAAGTGTGTTTTCCACCACTCAGAGCCAAAGGCCTTTCCTCTCTCATCAAGGCTGTCACAGGAAAGGAACCTGGCTATGTGAACTAGAATGATGCATTGCCCAATCTGAACATTTTGGGGAGGGATTCTGAGGTGGTCAAAGCCTTCTTGCCATAGAAAGGCCAGGCAGTGACATGAACTGGCGTTGTGTCTGACAGCCGTAGCTCCTGCGTAGCTTAGGCATAGAAATGACTCTTCATACCTTCCATCTAAAGCTCTTCTGAACGAGGATAACAGCTTGACAGTGAAGGAAGGTGTTTTCCATTGTGGGTCTAAGGCAATCCCAAATTTGGTCATTCATTTTAAGGTCTGAGTTTTGGCTGAAAGTCAAGAAAGATCAAGTGAAAATGTTTTTAGCATAAGGCCTTTCAGGGGAAAATGCTGATCTAGTTATCTACCTATAGAACAGTAAGTTACATCCTTTTTCTTTTTAAAGAAAACCCTAGAAGGCTTATAAACTGTCAAAACTTTTTTTTTTTTTTTTTACTTTTTTTCCACATTTTTTTTAATTTTAAATGTGGAGTTAGTTGGAGTTACTTAAGTATTAAAACCTAAAGATCTAAAACCTATAAGGTCAGAACTGAAAGCAGGAATGGTGAACCTATTGCAATATTTCAGCTAGTGCACTCTGATTACTCATTAAATGACATTATTCCTGTTTATAAATGCATTTTGATTTTTCAATCTGTTTTTAGACATGAAAAAATAGTGGAATATTTTGAAATATTTTTTCAAATATTTTGAAATAGTGGAATTCCACAGAGCAGGCATATTAAATTGATTCTCTTCCCAATTCCAGCTATAACCTAAGTTCAGAATTGTTCATTATCCTGTGCTGGTTTTGGCCACAGATTAACAAGTCATATAGAGCAGAGGACAGATTTGGACTTGGGGCATTTTGACAGGTAGGAAATACACAAACCCTTATAAAAGAATCCTGAAGCTGAACCTCGAAGTGATGCACACTGAAGCGTGTATTGTTGTGTGCTCACAGCATGCTGGTATCTAACTTTATTTAAATTCAGGAGCCAAAATGTGACCTTGATGAATTGGGTGGAAGTTTTGCTAGAAAGTTAGGTGGGACCTGGACCTGACCTCAAATTTCTGCATAGAAGTGGCATTGATTTGAGGGTTTGCATCAGCAACACATGTTTTATCAAAGCATCCTATCTCACTTTCATCCCACTGCTGCTGCCCCTGCTGTTACCATGCTGACCCCTTGTTCACACCACAATATTGGTTCCCTCTGAAATTGAGATTTGAGCTCAGGATTTTACTGATAACTTTCAAGGTTCTTCAAGCCTTGACCCCTCTGTTCTTGCACAACCTGGTCCACATTTCTGCTTCCTTTCGTAACCTACTTTCTGTTTCTCATTTATCTCCGCTCTCCTATCACTTTTTAAGTTGACTGTGTTAAAATGCAGTGCTTTTGCAGAATTGACCCCAGTGTGGTGGAACTCCATTCCTCTTGATATCTATAGATTTGGGAGATAAATTCCACCCCCTCTACCTCTCCAAGATTTCGATGGCCTGTCTCATAAGGTACAAAGTGTGGTCAGGCCATGTGACAGAGCTTTCATTTCCCCCAGACCACCTCCCTCTTCAATTTTTTAAAGTTAAGGTCAGACTATGTAAAAGAATCAGAGCTCACAGCAGAATAATTGGAGTCATCTGAGACTCACACAAAGGTCATGTAGGTTAGTGCTTTTGAGGAACCTGTGATAAGGCAGTGGCTGAGAGGGATTTGTGATCCAAGCCAATATTTCTGCTTAGTGTAATTTATGGGAGAATTCTAAACAAATTCTAATAGGGACGAAACACCTTTTTCTGTGCCTCTTATCATAAACTTTATGAGTGTTGTGTGCAATATTGGACCTGCAAAGTTCACATCTGCTTGTTTTCCTGAAATATATTGTTACTACCTCTCTGCTACTGAAAGCTTTCTTCCCACATAAATAACTTGAAGACATTTCAAATACCTTTAAGAATTCATTCCTCCTTTAACATATTGCCTTTTAGAAGAGCATGCTTTGATTTTGAGAGACATATGAATTAACTGGGAAAATTATAATTGCAACATTGTATCAATTTAATTTAGAAAAATCCTTTGGCTTTTACTCATATAATTCTGTACTTCAGAATACCTGTAAACAGTTGCACTGCTCACAGGTTTCCTTAACTAAAAAAGGAAAAAATATCCTTTCATATTTTTCCCATATAATAACAATTTTTTCATTACTGTTCCAGGCCAGTTTTATCTTGGTTGTGAATTTCATGGTGATAAGAATTAATCACACCAGCCAGGCATGTTTCTTTATGAAGGTGTTTCTTTCTGTGAAGTATTGTTTACATCACGGCAGATTCCTGAATGAGATCTCCAGTATGCTTAGCACTGAAGGAGGCTGAAGAAGATTTTGTAAATAACTCAATTATTTCTTTTTGGTAAGCAAGACTTAAAAATCCATAAGAACAAACTCTAAGACGGTCTACAGTGTTCTGCTGCTGCCCTTACCAAAATGCAGTTTTCTGTATTTTTGACCAAACTCCATAGAGAGAAGGTTTTAATATAGGTCAGGAATGAAGTATATGACTTGTGGGGCTAAATTTCTATGGACAGGAAGTGGAGACCCTGGTGTGGATGAAGAATTTGACCAGATTATCTTGGGGGTTTGTAAAAACATACGAACAAGAAAAGAATACATTTGTGCTCTAACCTTCTCTTAGAAATAACAGTGTGCTTTTCTTTCTGTCAGTGAACACTTCTCACCTGATGCCAACTTGTCATCATATAAATCAACTTGAGACGTCACAGAGCAAACAGAGAAAACTTTATCTCTTGCATTCAGACTTATTGGAACTCTGAAAATAATAAAAAGCAATAAAATGTAATCTCTATTTTGCAAAAACAGAATTCAAACCTCTGTTTCGGCATTTTTTAGAACTCAAGCAAAATAGCACTTTCAAGTGTATATTTGGAAAAATCAGCACTCTTTCATTCTATTTGCAGTTCACCTTTCCAGCTGTGCAGTGCCCTGACTTGTGTGTGCCATTTCAGGGCAGACAAATGTCCACAGTGATACAACAAAGCTCAAACTTGCATTGAACTTTATCAATTTGTGAAGTCTCACAGGCTCGGGTGATTTGGACCTTTCAAAGAACCATTCAGTTAAGCCCTGTCTTGGCAAGAACAAATACTTGATAAATGTTTATCTCTTCATGCCACACTTCTCTCCTAAGCTGACTGCCATGTCATCAAAACTTCATCAAAAGTTCCACCCAAAAATGGAAGGAATTCAGAAAAGTGACTATATCAAAAACATGTGGTGTTTTGCTAAAGAGAATGATTCTTCACCAGTCCCTCACAGTAGGACTTTACTTTACAAGAAGAATGAAGCACAGCTTCCAAAATCTGTTTTCTGCATATTTTACAGACCTTTTCAGTGATGCAGGATTGTTTGGTTTGCTAACCAGCAAATATATGAGTTGTAAACATTCCTCAGGAGTGCAGCGTCCCACAGCATTAAAAAAGGAATTCTTTTCCCCCACTCTTCTCCAGATCTTCTGAAGTGTAACAGATGGTTGTTATTATTTCTCCTTTTGGTTTCTATCCCTTTTATCTTTACCCAAAGTATTTCACCACCGCACATTTGCACTGTCAAATTGCACCATGGTGGAATTATGCACACTTCTGGAATGTGGAGTGATCTCTTCAGTTCTTCAGCTTTCCTACCACTTCCAAATAACTCCTCACTTTTGCTGGCATTCTGCTTCTGAAAATTATCTTACAAATTACATACTTTCTCATTCACCCTAAATTAGAGTCTCTGCCATCTAGAGCAGCTTTCAGTTGTACTGTTGTTTTTTCCTTACTTTTCATTTCAAAACATCTGAATATTAAAATACTTGTAATACAGTGTCCTTTGCCAAAAATTTGGTACCAGAGAGCATCTCAATCTGGACAAAAGGCATGATCCCACAGTACTTCCAGCACTATGTCACCACCATGTTTGTCATTGCTTTGGTACCTTGTTTTCTTCCTCCAGACATAATCCTGCAGATCTGAATTTTTTTCAGACATATCATTCAGATTTTCATTTCCCTTTTTATGAGATCATGACTGTCTCCTAAGGAAACTATCTCACCCTTCATTTTCATACAGGCTCTTCAAACAGTAAGATACCTTTTAATTGTTATCATATTTTATGATATGTATTTTAAAATTAACATTACTATGGAAAAAAAATTAATTAAATCTGTGGTCTGTACCTAACTCCTCTTGCAAAAAAAAAAATCAACTGGCATTCAATTAGTTAAACCATTGGTGTCCATTTATACTACTCTACTATAATGAGGTACTATTTGTTGTTGGACTCATTTGTTCTGTCTGGCTATGATTAATTTCACAAACTTCATCATTATTCAAACAGATCTTCCACACTGTACATAGGCTTAATATTGTACTCTTATCAGACCTGTTAAAGAAGCTAATGTACTTGAGCACAAATATTCTCTATCAGTTGCATTGACACTCCAAGACCATTAATTCTGAGAAACAAAGCAAGACACATTTTACTCACATCTTACACTCTTCTGAAGATAAACATGCTTATCAAAATTCTTGTTATGGTTTGTGTTTATGGGATGGGCTTAAAGAAATGAAAACTTAACTTTGAAAAAACAATTTCTTCAGAATGCTTTATCCCACTTGTGGTCCCAAGAGCTATGCCTTCAACGTGCTTGAAAAGATTTCTGTAAGGGCAGCAGGAGCAGGAGTTTTAATTTGAACAGAACAGGTATTATAGAAGGAGCCACATATGAAAGCAGCAAGAAGCCTTCGATGTTCAAGAAGCCTTTATTATCTTCCTAAGGGGCCTGTTTAGCTCTGGCACAAGAAGTAATTTATATACATTTAGTCTTCTTTATTTTCTTAGAAATAATTATTTTTTCCTGTTGCATTTCTTTTGTCTGTCGCCGTTTCTCCCTAGTGCAGTTTAACCTCTTTGTAACATATAGTAACAAAACATTGCTTGCAACATTAATTTCAAAGACGTATCTCAACCACCTTTGAAGATGGCTTCAGTTCAGTTTCTGCAGCATTTCTCCCCCACTGTGATTTTCCCCCAAATTTAGTTAGCTATTTTTATCAAAGAGGAGTGGAACTGCTGACAGTACAAAAAGCAGAAAAGGCAGGGTCTCACAAATGTAAAAAGGAGCAGATAAGTGATGACAGCCTGATTTGTGGGTTATTGTAAATTGTATACACTTCTGCTGGAAATAATGTCTCTATCTAATATGTATCAGAACATCCTTGCTACTCTATCTTTACTTACACAGTTCAAATGTCAATCTGATTACCTCAATAAAGTGCCAAGGTGGCAGGAAAAAGAGGCATCTAGAAATGGTCTCAAATCAATGAATTGATGTGAAACTTAGATTTAAAAATTAGATAAACAAGAGATGGCTGGATTATTTGTGTGATTAATCTCTCACTGAAATTGGGAAGCCAAGAGCAGAATGTAATGAGTGGGAATCCCTAAACTGAATGACCTCCTAAGCAATTCATAGAGCACCATATTATAGGAAAGGAGAATATTTTTTCCCAAAGTTGTCAGCCTTCTGTGCTCAGCTCAAGTTTGCAAAAAGAAGCTGGGCATTTTCTCTTTCTTACACTTCTTTCAATAACACACAATGCTTCTGTAAATCAAAATTCCCTCTTTACTTTGATACTGATTGAAGCAGAATATGATCTAGTTTCCTTTTGCTCTAGTAAGCTGGTTTAGATCTGCTGCACAGAAATCAAACCATAAAAATGTGGTTTTGTCAGTTTTATGCAAGTAGCCAGGACTGAAAGACATGTGCGGTCAAAGGTTGAAACACTTTCAATTCATCATCCAGCCCTACTTCTCAAGTATTTGGCTGTTCAATTTTGCAAGCACAAGACAGCAATTATATGTGGAAATTGAGAAATTAGAACTCTTATCAAGCTCAGGTATTTGTATAAGGGCACAGTTTCAGGGGGAAAGAAAAAAAAGAAAAAAAAAAAAAAAAAAAAAAAAAAAAAAAAAAAAAAAAAAAAAAAAAAAAAAAAGGTGTGTGTAAGGTCACACACAAAGACTACAATGTAGTTTGAAAGTGTCCCTGAAAAATAGAGGATCTGTTAAATGTTTGCTGACCAGAACCCCTATATCTGGGTGGGGGGGAATGACAGTGGTTCTTAAAACTGGCCTCAAAAAACATAAGCATTTCTCCATCATTTTATGGATAATGAACTTGAACTTTGGTTTTTTGCATATGTGGTGCCTCTGAATATTTCCAAGAATTATTATTATCCACCTCCATACAGTTATAAAGTGAAAAGCACTGAGTTGAACATTCCACAAGCATATATAATGAGTATTTAAGCTCTGAAAATTGTGTTCATTACAAACAACTAGGTTTTGCCACATTTAAAATCATAATCTTGATATGGAGCTTGATTTTCAGAATAATCTCATTTTGTATTCATAAGAAACTGCTGCAATTTTCCAAGTAAAAATTTGCACAAGTCTGTTATTCCATGACTGAAGGAGGTTTCCAAAAATCAAAAGCAAAAGAAGGGCTCACGTGTAGATAAGGAGATTGCAACTATCCTTTTCTACTTCCATTTCTTCTTCTTTCAGTGTCAGCTTTCTCACTCTTCCCTTGATCCATAGATGAAGCCAACTTGCAAAGTTTTCCCCCTACTCAGATATGAATGACCATCCCCATGAACAAATAATCCTCAGAAAAAACAGGATACAGTTCGTACAGATTGAAAGCCAGGTTTTTAACCAGGGACACAACATCCCCAATTCATCAAAGCCTCAATTCCTCTTAGCAAAATTGCAGCAAATTTGGACCTTGCAATTTCATTTATTAATTTATTTATATTTATTAATTTAGACCTTGCAATTTAAACAAGATCTTGCAAATTCATTCAGCAATGCTTGCTGAAAGCTGATGAGCTCTTTCTAAAGACAAAAAGACAGGTAGATACTTATAAGCTAATTGTTTCTCTACTAATCTTCAGAATACATGTTATGGCCTGGTGGAACATAGCAAACCTTTTAATAGGAGCTGTAAAACCCCAAAACTTTTAATGCCTAAAACCCCAACTAAATGCCTTTAAACCCAACTAAAAGACCTCCTTTTGGATAAGCAAATTTTCTGTGGGATGTGAATTTTAAGAGCTGAGTCTCACTTTCTGGAAAGTTAAATTATGCATGCTAAGTTTGCTTGTAGTGACTGAAGCCAGTGTCCATATTCTGTCTCATACACTGCCTGTGCAAAGCAGGAACCACAGCATTGCTCCTGGCTTTCTTTTTCACTGTCAATATCACTCTCTTGGAAAGCTGGGATGAAAACTGTTGCTACAGTGATTTGGGGATGGATGGTGAATTAAGTAGAAATAGTTACAATTAAGTCTGTTTACAAAGTGACTGTGCACAGCTGACTAGGAAGGGCTGTCACTGGCCCTCAGAAAGAACTGAAAGTCAGTTCCAAAAAGAAAACTTGAGAATACTTTGAGGTTTAGCAAACACACATTATTTTTTAACTATGTTTATACATTAGAAGCAGTGTTCACATAGAGGTAGGACAATGCCCTACTTTTGTATCAGCAAAAAGTCTCAACATAGTACTACAACTACAATCAAAGTCCCCTCTGCCAATGCTACTTCTTTCACTCAGGGCCCATGTTTAAGGAATACCATCATAAGACACCTGGCAATATTAACTGTGTCTGCCTTACATGAATTATGCCAACAAAACCTTTTACATTTCCTTGACTCCTGAAGAATGGCAGAGGAAGGATTCCTCTAGAAAGGAAGGTAAGTATTTGT